TACAGTTAGAGAAGCACGCGTTACTACGTTGAATACCGATAACTTTTAACAATTTTTTCTGTGAAATTTACTATTTTTATAACTGTTATTTATTGAATTGCTTAATGTTAAAGCCTAAGATCATATGATTTCGCAGTTCCATGGGACCGCAAAATCATGAATGTGGGCATTTCATGTCTGTTTCGAAAGATTTTTGTAGACCACCACTTCACCATGAACACCGACAAAAAAATATGGGCTTGACAAATCAAGAGGGAAAAGTAACATTAGATTTGAAATTATCATATAATAAAAAATTAAGACACTTTATCTGGGTTTACAGCAAGGATATCTGTGAAAATCAAGCAGATTATATTCATGTAGCAGCTATAGATCCTTGAGTCCGCACCTTTCTCACTTGGTATTCACCAACTATTGGGAATGGAAATTTTGGTGACAATGACATTTATCGCATCTTTTGCCTAGGACTTGCCCTTGATGATCTTATTTCACGTACTGCTAGAGCACCAGCAAAAAAACGGAAGTCCATGAAACGTGCTCAAGCACATTTAAGGAAACGAATTCAAAACTTAATAGATGAGGTACATAAAAAAGCAGCATTATGGTTAACTCGTACTTTTGACGTAATTGTGTTACCAATATTTGATAGCACACGAATGTCTTGCAGACAAAAAAGAAAAATTAATAGCAAGACAGTTCGAAAGATGATGTGTTGGGCACATACTAGATTTAGAAAAAGACTGATATCCAAAATGGAAGAATTTGGCAAAATTGTGATAACATCTGTTTCAGAAGCATATACAAGTAAAACATGCAGCAGTTGTGGGTATATTAAAAAGAATTTGGGAGGAAATAAAGAGTTTAGGTGCGATAGTTGTGGACTTCAAATTAATAGAGACTTAAATGGCGCCCGGGGATTCTCCTTCGGGCTTTGCTTGATGGGGCCATAGTTATGCAAACATAAGTATGCTAATTAATTGATTATATAGCTGAATATTTTTAGTTGTATAATTGATCGATTCAATCCATCCGCTCATTCAATCAAATTGAAACATACAGAATAATTAACAAATATAATTGGTTCTATAGCATAAATCCAATAGATACTACAATAGGGTAGGCTCTTTGGCTAAGCTTTCCTCTAAGATAAATTAGTCCTAGGTCTCGTAGTCTAAAATTAGACATTGTAATATGTAATACACCTGTTGTAATACCATTATAATTATTAATAAAGATTATTAGACCAAAGAGATCGCTTATAAAAAAAACACACATCTTTTAATCCATTAGAATTTTATAACTTATCATCTATTTTGGCATTAAAAATTCCAATATACATGTCATAAGCCCTTTCAAAAATATTACTTACGCAGAAATGCACTAAAAAAATGTCTAACCACATTACTTCTATCTATACTCCAATTATCATTATTTTCTCTAGACCAGTTCAATACTATAAAAATATTTGCCGAATGTGCCCAGTGTCTTTCAGGAATAAAATCGTTACTGCCAACAAAAACTCGCAATCACCATCGATTATTTTTTGAATAGATAGATCAGTGATGACAAAAAAATGACCATTTAATTCATTGTATTATCTATCATCATTAGGATGATGAGAGATGTCCATGGTTTCCTTAACAAAGAATATAACTTGCATATATAATATTTTTATTCATAGCAATTGCCATCAATATGAATAATCAAGCTAAAGTTTGCAATCTAATTTCGATACAAAACTAAGATTTTTTTCTTGCATTTACAAATAATGAATCAATTTGTAATTAATTATTTTCGAATATATATTTGAACGCACCAAAGTAGGTGTTTATAGATTAATTTCAAGTTTGTTCTTGGTTAAAAAGGATTTTTGTTCACAATGTTTTACATAGCAATGTTTTCGTCGCTTTAAAAGGTGGCTTTTTGTTGCTTTAAGATGGTTCTTTATAGTTCTTTTATCGCTTTAGTAGTAGTTCTTTCATCACTTTATTAGTCACTTTAGAGGCAGTTCATTCATTTAACACATGCGTTCATTTAATAAAAATCTATTTTTTTATTAGATTGAGATTCATATAGGCCAATATGCACTTCTATGTAGAAGAGAGAACCCGTACCCTAAAACTTTTTGATGATGTAATAGATTATTTGGCAATGCAATTATCTGACAGACAGCTCATTAGACAATTACTTATATTATTTTTGAGACGGAAGGTTTATTTTATTACTACACAACAATGACAAATGGCATGTTTCAGTAGGTTCAGGCTAGTAATATAGGTTTTGAGATAATCTAATGGGTTTGATGCATATTCATTAAATCCTTGCATAATAACCTTCAATAAATCAAAACAATCACTCTAATCATTCATCAGACCAATCAAATAAGAGGCTTAGACTACATTTAGTGACTCTATTCAAGGCCCAATATACGCCAATTGGCTCATATGTTGACATATATGAATTATGCGAATTTTAATCAATAACCAGTTTTGTTTTTGGTAATTTTATAGATATTACTTTTTATAGATGAATACATTTTTATATTTGAAGGGTGAATCAAAATAAAAATAATGAATGGTAAATGGTAATAAACAATGATTAAAATCTCAATAAATAATTCAATTAAAGTATCGTATCTCGATTTCAATATCAAAATTGTTTCATAATAACGATAACAAATTAAGTCAATAATGAATTATTTATTCAGATCATTTTCAAATTTGGTAATTGCATAGTATGCAGATTGAGGTATTTCTTTTTTCTTTTGTCCTCTTTAATCACCATTTCTTATTATTTTTACATATATATTTATCAGTTGTTCAACAAGTGAAAAAAATCAATTATAAAAGTATTTTCACATATATATTCATCAGTTGTTCGACAAGCGAAAAAAATCAATTACCAAAAGTAATCATCAAAACCATCCAAAATTAACAAAAAAGCAATCGTGCATGCCAACAAACGCTAGAAAAGTTTTCTTACGAACTACTTAATTACATTTTTTTTTTCTTTGTTCCATAATAAGTATTACCTTTTCTGCATTTAATTTTTCTATTACCTCATTTTTTTCTTTAATTTCTTTATTTTGTTCTTCGATCATCTTTAACAAGCCTTTTTCTACTTTATCTTTTTCGTCTTGTGTTTCTTTTAATTCTTTTTCCAAAATTTTAATTTCTTCTTCATTCTTTCCGTCCTTAGCTTGTAAAGCTTTATAATTATCTTCAAGTGCAGCATAAATTACTTCTAGATTTGAATGTTCCGTGAGGAGCTCGCTGTATTTCTTATTGATATCTCTGAGATTAATTTCAGATTCTGTAATCTTCGCTTCTAGATCTTTATATAATGATTTAAGATTCCCGTGTTCTGAATCTAGAACTGCGTATTTTGTTTTGAGTTTTGTATAATTGTCATCTTTTATTTTTAAATCTGCATTCTCGGTTTTTAAAATTGTATTCTGTGATTCTAAGGTGTGATTTCTTTCTTCGGTTTCTTTATTTTTTACCTTAAGATTTATGTTATCTGTTTCTAGTACGTGATTTCTTTCTTCGATCTCTTTATTTTTTACTTTAAGATTTGTGTTCTCTTTTTCTAGGGTGTGGTTCCTTTCTTCAGTCTCTTTGTTTTTTACTTTGTGATTTGTGTTTTCTATTTCAAGGGTGTGATTTCTTTCTTCGATCTCTCTATTTTTTACTTTTAATACTTCATTCTGTGATATGAGAATTGATTTTTGTTCTTGAGACTCTCTTGCGTTTGCAAAAAATTTTATCTACATTATAATAATAAGTTAGTTATTTATGTTTTGATAATAGTGAAATCCAAGAAATACTTACTTGTTCAAAGATAACATTGAATAAATCTTCACGATACTAAACAATGATGCAAAAACAGGATTAATTTAAATTTTAATAGATATTGTCATCCTATAAACTATTTTGTGAAGGTGAAAATTTATATCTGTATTTCTCACATACTTAAATACACTTACATTATTTGCTAGTCCAATTGTATCTCCAACAGTGTCATAATTTTTCTGTTCAAAAAAATTTTTAAGCATACAGTAAGAGAGATAGATATTAATTTAATGAAAAGTCTGTGTGCCACCCGGGGTGGTACCACCCTGTCTAAATTAAATAGTAATTTGATGACGCACATCACAGGGTGGCAATAAATTATTTACTACCCTGGGTGGCACCAAGACGACTCCTTAATTTAAATAATTGAATTAATATACTGTAATTACCTTGATGATATATGCAACAATTCCTAAAGCAAAAATTATAATAACCTTGATAATATATTTTTTATAACCTTGATTGCCACAAAAAATATTGACCACTTGATACTGGTCAAGAATTGGATTTTGTCTTTTCATATGAGGATGTTTATTATCTGAATGTTGATAAAAGGGTATCTCGTTGGGCAGGGATTTCGTGTGCGAAGTTACTGGAATTTTATTAACTAGATTTGTTTGATCTGAAAAGATCAAACCTTTTTGATATTGTTTTGGAGCTTCCGAAGATGATTGATTCGATGAAGAGAAAGTTGAAATTAGATCCATATCAGTTGAAGTTGAGGATGGACTATCAAATTTCCGATAACTCAGTTGATCGCCATTATCAGTTAAATTGTGGATATAAATTTCTTCAAGGTTTACAGAGGATGCTCTAGAAGTTTGGTCAGGGATATAAATTTCTTCAAGACTTACAGAGGATGCTCTACTGGAGTCTTTTTTGTTGTTATTTTGGCGGTTTTCTATTAATGAGAAAATACATTAAAGTTTATCAGTTTCTCGATTTCTCGAGGAAATAACAAAAAATAAATATTTTATACCATCAACAAATTGCCATGCTGCCTTAAAAATAAGACCATTTACATATCCTTCTTTTTTTTTTAATTCTGCATCAATTAGTCTTAATGCATTATGAAATACTGACGATTGGTCAGAAAAATATTTCGTTGGAGCATATTTCATCGATTTAAGAGATTCAGGTGTAAAATATTTACGACAATAGTTATCGTATTGAATGTCTGTTAGAGGAACATTTGGTAAATTTTTTTTTGTAATTTTGGGTGCCATTACTAATACGAGGTTTCTCAAAGAAGAATCTGAACTGTATTTATATATTTTGGGCAAGAACAAAAGCCATGTATGAGGATCAAATATTTAAATATAAATTTTCTTAAGCGAGTGTGATAATCTAATTCGTTTCAGAATTGCGTAAAATTTTTTTGATAACTTTAAAACACCAACAAGTATTTCTCAACAAAAACACGAAAAATTGGGCTAAAACTGGTTCTTTTTAATGTTGCTTATATGATTTTTAGTATAGCATAAAATTTATGA